CTTTTGATTTCTGTTTACACAGAACATCTTTTTCCATCTTTTTTCACTTTGAGTCTGTATATGTCCCAAGATCTGAAGTAGGTCTCTTGTAGACAGCATATATGTGGGTCTTGTTTTTTGTATCTATTTAGCCAGTCTGTATCTTTTAGTTGGAGCATTTAATCCCTTTACACTTAAGGTAATTATTGAGATGTATGTCCTTATTGCCATTTTGTGTTTGGATCACTATTTCTTTTTTGTGTGTGTATCTATTGTAGATTTTTGGCTTGTGATTCCCATGAGGTTTTGATAGACCAGTCTACATATTTAATATAGCAGCTAACAAGATTGTTTTCAGTTTCTGGTCTCTTAATTTCAAATGCATTTTCAATACAGTATGTCCCCTACATACACACCTTCAAGTCGCAAACTTTCAAAGATGTGAATGTTTCTTTACGTGTCAAATCATGTAAGCTAGTTTGTATGTCTGGCATTCATGGTCATGTGCATGCATCCTCTACAAGTGTGGTGCTTTTGTGTCCTTTATTGCACAATACTGTGTAGAATACAGGACTACAGTATCTTTATTTCAAGTCCAGAATGTCCAGAAGCAAAAGATAGATAGAATTAAATCTAGCAAGAAACCAGAACTTGTGCCATCAATGTCAGGCATGAGTAAGATTGCAGCTTAGCCTCCATCTCCTGTCACTGACAATGCTTCAGCTCTGACATCTTCCACCTCTTCTCCCTCCTCCAATCAGCAGTTCTTCTTGCTTATTCACTTGATGCCACTCCCTGTATGCCAGCCGTTGTTCTATACTAGTGTACTTCTCAAGGTACTATACTGTAAGAATAAAGATGTACTCTTTATTTTTTGCTGTTTTTTATTCCTGTGAAAATCATTATAAACTTATTACAGTACAATGCTATATAGCTGATTATGTTAGTTGGGTACCTAAAATAACTTTGTGGGACGTAAGAACAAACTGAATATATAAATTTGCTCTTAGAATGGAACTATTCGTATGTAAGGGTCTTACTGTATCCTGAATCTGTACTCACTTGACAGTTGCTGGTTTTGATTCTGTGCTTGTTTGTGGATGATTTCTTTCTTTTATTGTATGTTTGCCTTTCCTGTTGATCTTTCACATTTTTGATGCTTCTGTTTCTAGCCATGGCCTTTCCTGTTGAGAGTCCTTTAGGAATTGTTGTAAGCTGTTGTGATGTCAGATTGTCTTAACTTCACTTGCCTGTGCAGTTTTTTTTATTTCTCTATTGAATCTGAACAAGAGCCAAGTTTACTAGCTTTCTGATTATTTTATCTTTTTTTAAATCACATTTTCTCCTTCTCAATTCTTCCCCAATGACATGTGCTTGCATGTGCACATGTGAAAGTGCAAAAATACACATTTATCAATGGTACCTATTATACTTTTTTATGATCTATGACTGGCCAACGCATAAAACATACACCAGAAATGATTCTCACAACTTAAGCAGAATATACTTTTAGAATATCCTGCTTGAACTAGTCCTATTTTTAAAGAACTTAATGTCATTCAACATTTAGTTTTCAGTTTGCTTTTTTACATCTTTCAATTTTGTGTTATAACTCTGTATGAACTTTATTGTTTTATTCCTGACTCATGCTCTGAATGCTTTGTTGGTTATAATAATGGGTATTTTGTGGAATCGCAGCTCTTAAAGGAAATAAGCTGATAAATCCTCAGTTCAGTTCTGTTGCTCAGTCATGTCTTTGCAACCCCGTGGACTGCAGCATGCCAGGCTTCCCTGTCCATTATCAACTCCCAGAGATTACACACGATTACAACTCCCACGATTACACAAACTCGTGCCCATCAAGTCAGTGATGCCATCCAACCATCTCATCCTCTGTTGTCCCCTTCTCCTCCAGCCTTCAATCTTTACCAGCATCAGGGTCATTTCCAATGAGCCAGTTCTTCGCATGAGGTGGCCAAAGTGTTGGAGTTTCAGCTTCAGTATCAGTCCTTCCAATGAATATTCNGACAGAGGATGAGATGGCTGGATGGCATCACCGACTCGATGGGCACGGGTTTGAGTAAACTCCGGGAGTTGGTGATGGACAGGGAGGCCTGGCGTGCTGCGATTCATGGGGTCACAGAGAGTTGGACACGACTGAGCGACTGAACTGAACAGAACTGAAAGATTATAGAAGTAGAGGAAAGTGTGAATATAAATAACTACTTTGGCAAGTTTATAAACTAAGTATGTTCTCTTTGGTTTATAAACATTATTTATGGCAGCTGATTTTAATATACAGATATTGTATTACTCTTGATGTTAGATGAGATTAATAAAAAATTTGGAGAGAAAACCATTATATATTTTTATTCATATAGCAATATTCTGTAAAATTCAACACCTCCACATATTCAAAGTCAGATAAGTCAGCACTGTAAAATAATAAAAAAATATACATAATAAAATTCCTCTTTTTCATCCTATTTTGTTTACTTTTTCTACAGAATATTAGTTGTTTGTTAATTCTATTTAATAAGCACCTGTTTTATGAATCAGAATTTTTGAAAGGGTGTGTTTATAGTTTAATAAACACAATTTAATAAATATTAAATTTTATACAATTAAACACAATTTAATAAATACTGGTATTTTCATTCTTTGGAAAGGACAACCTAAAGACAATTACCTATTTTGTCTGGGGTTTCGTTACTTATAAAATGTATCAGCCAAAAATTGAATTGTTTTAATACTCCTTTGTCCTTCTGAGAGAATCTGGAAGAAGATATTGAGTTGTTTGCTGGCATAGAAAAATATTGAAAGAAAGCTACATTAAATCACATGCATGTGGAAATTAATTGATGGTCCAGAAAAATAGATTTTAATGTGCTTCAAATGTTTCTTTTCTCCAGGTTGCTTCCTTTTAATTCTTTTATATAAGGTGAAAGGCAGTATTTAAAGAAGTTCTGTGGTAATTTAATTAAAGTATTATTTGGCCTTTCATTTCATTTTCAAAATTATATTTGAAAAATTAAAATAAACCTAAAATCCTGATATAGAATTCTATCCTCTCTGTCAAGGACTTGATTTACCACAGTCTCATTTCTTTCTATGGTCCCTTTCATTGTCTCTCCTTAAGCAAGTTTGAACTAGTAGCTGTTTATACGTATATCTTTGTCAGGGTCTTGCTCACTTCTAAATATTTACAAATGTCATTGCCTGAGAGAGACCCCGTATCACTTCCACTCCAAGTGGCTAATTTTTTTTCCAAACGACCATTCAGTGACAGCAAATGTTATTGGTTCCTTGCATGTTACTATTTTTCTGTTCTCTCCCAACATTCTAATAGGAGTCTAAATAAACACAACTTGATAATTCTCATTTTAAATGTATATTGGAAAAAGTGGCTACATTTTCACTTATCCTTTTCAAAACATGAAAACCATCCCTTTACATATTATATCTTAGATTATCTAATCTCCATTTCACTGTTGTCTGAATAGCAGCTCTAGAAGTTTTGTAAGAGGAAAGTTAGGAAGTTTGGCCATTAATAATCCATAAAGTATTTTTTTAAATACATATCAGTGTCAAATTATGTTTACCTAAATTATGTATGTATTTTGTTAACCAGCTTGGATAACTTGCATATCTTAGGAAGGATTTAAGGGAAAGAGAGAGTGTTCACTTTTAAGTGAATTTAATTTAAGGGAAAGAGTATTTCTTAAGGAGAGGGAAAGGAAGAGAAAGGGAGGAGTAACCGGAAGGGAGAAGGGGAGGAGAGGAAACATTAGTTTTGTGTATTGTTAGTGAGGTTTGTGATGACTCCTGTCTCTTCCTGGAAAAAAATTAAATGATGAGTTATATCCGTTTTTATCATTAAAATATTATACAGCTATTTTATTGACCAAGTAAAGAAAACAAAACAAAATTCTCCTTTAAATCGACTTAAGACAAAAGCAGAATCTAATGGAATCACATGAACTTATTGGGAAACCCAAGTTAAACTTTATAACTTAAACTTTGTAGACTGAAGTGTTCATTGAAATCGGTGGTAATCGTAGTAAAAAATCCCAAGATGAGGTGTGATCATGTGAGTACAGCACTCCGAGCTGTGCTAGACACAGAGTGAACACTTTATAATAAATATGCAAAGATACTTTTTACTCTAAGTGACACATTTAATAACAAGACCACAGCCAGAGGCCCAGTCACATTGTGAGTGTGTGCATGCTAAGTCTCTTCAGTCGTGTCCAACTCTTTTTGCAACGCTATGGACTGTAGCCCGCCAGGCTCCCAGTCCATGAGATTCTCCAGGCAAGAATACTGGAGTGAGTTGCCATTTACTCCTCCAAAGGATCTTCTTGACCCAGGGACTGGACTGAATCTCTTGTGTCTCCTGCCTTGGGAGGTGGGGGAAGCCAATCATACTAGTAGACCAGAATTAGTACATTTGCATTTGAGATAGGAAATCCCAAACTTTGTTCATGTGTTATATCTCTTAATTATAACAGGGTTGGATTCATGTAGGCTCCCCTAAATGGCAGACTCCTAAATCTGTAGATTTTGGAAGGAGAGAATTAGAAGCAATAAATAATTAAAAATATACTAAGTGGAATAGGATGGTATTTACTGAAAATGTTTTGAATCTCAAATGTAAACAGTCTGAAACTGTATCAGTAAAATCCTCTCAATTTAATTAAAAGAAAACACAGTAGCTTATAGAAAACTTAGCATAATTGATATTGCATTTAAGGAAAGCATATCTCTAGCATTTAGCCATGATTCTGACTTAGTGGTTCCTGTATTAAAAGAAAAGATGCCAAAGATGACGTTATTATGACCTGAAAATTAAACCTCTGAATGTTCAAATTGATAAGTAAAGCACCACCACAGCAAAATATATGCACAATCACGAATTGTACAGTAATCAAATTTTAATAGGGGGGGAATATTAGTGTAGAAGCACATGAATTACAAAAGAAAAATGTGTTTTGATTTTGCTCTTTTTTTTTTTCCTGCAGGAAAAAGTTCAGCACTTACAGAAGGCTTTTGCTTCAAGAGTAGATAAATCCACACAAACTGAACTTCTAGGCTATGATGTAAGTAGCTATATAAAACCATTTTTATCTTTTTTATTGGTATTCAGACCTCCACAGCTTATTTACTTCTATTGCTGCTGTGTCCATGCATTGATTTAATAGGATTTAGTGGTACACCATTCATCTTTTGCTCTTAAATAATCCCCAAATACCTTCTGGAACTGAAAAAGATAATTACAGACACTGACTAGCATACCAATGTCTTATTAATTTCTTTAAACCAACATCTTTAATACAGCCTTCTGAATTAGTGAATTTGCAGACATGTGCAAGAGACGTATTAGAATACTAAGACAATTTATTTTTAAGAAAGTACTGATTTATTTATTAACAGTTTAATAAAGTTATTATATTTGCAATCACCAAGGGCCAAGCACATTATTTTTATATTCTGGCACATTAAAAGGAGCACAACTTTGCAGAGAAATTTACAATACTATTTTAGTTCTTGGGCTTTGGTGTGGGCTGCAGAAAGTAATTTAATTGAAAGTTAGCATTTTTTTTTTTCTTTATGTGAAATATTTGTTGAACGGTCAAAATAGGATTGTAAAACATGTTTTAATACAAGGTGACTTCCAGGAACACTAAATGAGTTTAGAAAACTTTGATTCAAATATCTACTTAAACAAAGCTATGAAATTTTCACTTTGCCTAAGGTCACAAGTTTAAATTTTTTTTCGATAAAACATAAATGAGTTATCTTCTTTATGTTGAACCTACCATTTGTGAGAACACTCTTCTTTTTAAAAAAAATTTAGTAATATTCGTTTTACTACTCTATTGGCAAGTAGTAATAGAATAGAAATAATTCTAGATTTCATGAAGGGGTTTAATGATAAAATGTCAACCTGTCTGCATGTTCTTACGTTTATAACAAACATGGATGTTCCTTTTCTATTGCCTTTCAAAGTACATTAACATATGTAACATAAAGCTTTCTGTCTCTATTCGGAAATAAACCAGAGTTTTGAATTTCAGTTAAAATGGTTTTCACATAGTTATGTGCATTATTTTTTCATTAAAAAACATTAAAAGCTATCCCTTTCTGTTGAGTTATTCTCTTACACTCATCTCATATTTATTCTTAGTACCTAAATATTCTAGATGTCAATATTCTGACTATAATACTTCTTCAATTCCTGTGCTTTGATATTTAAATGATAATGTTTCAGATATTTAAAAGTAAATGTTTTTAGTAAGTTCAGATATGCTTTAGTGCACTAAGTCAATATTTATCTGTTTAAGATAAGTTATTGTTTAATTTTTTTCCCCAATACGTATTATCTGTGCTTAGGTATTTGGGATATAAAACCAGTATGTATTTTACAATTAATAATCCATATGTTTTTAAATCTGTGAGTCAGAGAGTTGTCCAATAAGAACAATAAATTCATAGTCCACATTAAATCTTATTTCACCGTAAATTCATTCAACCCAGGAGCTGCAAGTAAACAGAATTCACCTATTTCAGTGCCCTCAATTTTCAAACAAGTTGACTGGGTTCCAGAAAAGTGAAGTCAGTTGTTCACTAATGCATGTTCTTTGTGGAAATCTAGTCTTTTAAAAAGTAATGATTATTCTTTTTTATTTTTTCCATTTATTTTTATTAGTTGGAGGCTAATTACTTTACATCATTGCAGTGGTTTTTGTCATACATTGAAATGAATTAGCCATGGATTTACATGTATTCCCCATCCCGGTCCCCCCTCCCACCTCCCTCTCCACCCGATCGCTCTGGGTCTTCCCAGTGCACCAGTCCCGAGCACTTGTCTCATGCACCCAACCTGGAAGGAAAAAGGAAGTACTTATGCATTTGCACTCAGATATTTCATTTTACTCAACTTAAGAGACTGATGTTTAGCAGATTAAATTCTAAATTTCTAAATGACTGAATGTAAATATAGAATGTAACCCTCTTAGATCTATAGCACTATTGGTGACAGTGAGAAATGATAACTAAGACATGAATGGTATCTGTGGGGAGATAGCTAAGTTGTAGCTACTAGATATTCCTTATGCATTTGAATGCCTGTCTATGCCCCATATTTTTCTTGTTTTTACAAAATGTCTTATCTCAATGATATTTAATTCTCCAAACATACAAATAAAAATTAAAGCCATGATCATAGTTAATTCTTCATCATACCTAGCTTATCTGACAATGAGAGCTTAATGTATTTTACTGGATAAAAGTAATATTAAAGAATAATTTCTTAGTAGTGAGTCCTTAAAGGATCCCCTTGTACAAGTTTCTGATATGATTTGGGTAGTTGTTAACATGTTCTAAAGATTTTGTATTTTGTACTTTTGGTGATATATTTTAGGACATAAGCATCAGAATCAGCAAATTACCAATGATATACATGCAAAACCTTCTACCAGTAACTGGATGTAACTATCATAATAGATTTTAAGGCAGTTGGTATTAAAAAAAAAAAAAACTGGGATGGGAATTATTTTAGATAAAACAAGTAAAGCATTTTAAATCTGCTGAGTTGTTAACTATTTGAAATATTATTCATTAATGTAACTTTTTCATGACTGAAATATATTTTCTATAATTTTCAATACCTGTTTGTAATTTTTTATATTCTTGTATGCAGTAAGAATAATTTGTTATCTTTGATATTTGCTCACATTTTCTCAGGAAATATAATTTGATCTTTAATTCATCACGTGTGTATGTGTATATATATATATATATATATACACATACACACCTACATACATTCTGTTTGAAATTTGCAATAGTATTTGTGAGAAAAAAAGTCTTATAGAAATCTTGCATATTATGGATGATGTTTTCACCTCTTTCTTTTTAAAGCTGTCAATATTAGCCGCAAATTGTTCTTTAGTGATCTTTATAGATCATGTTTCAGTGACATGAATGTCAGAATATAAGAGACTACAGTATCTATTAATATAATTTCCTTGTGAATATAGCTGTTACTACACATTTTGCTTAAGACGGGAAATAGAATCCCCAGAAGATATTAATTATAATGAAAACTGTTAAAAGAAATTTCCAAAAATTCACTACAGTGATTAAATTCAAAGGTTTGTACAATAAACAACTTCTAGCCTGCCACAGATTTATCAAGAGTCTTAAAACTAATGTTAAAGTACAACATGCTCTGATTTCTAATGCAAATGACAAGAATTATTTAAAAATAATTTCAGAGTGTCTCAGCAAAGGCCTATAAACACAATAGTTCTTATGATGAGGGAGATTGCTAAATAAATGATGACTGTGTCTTAAATAATCAATGCCAATTTAACCTCTTTCACCCTCCTCTGTCTGCACAGGCTTAGTTTATTGAAAGATCAAAGAATAATTTCTTAGGTGTCAGTTGTGTTATTAAAACAGGGTGGAAGATGAATAGATGTAGTCAGATAGCAATGTTGTTGATTACAAGATTATGTTAAGAGGTAGGCAAGATTCTTCTGATTACATCAGCTGTATAAATAGATACTTCAACAAAGCACATATGCTGCCTATAAAAATTTTATAGTTTGAACTACTGCAAATAACATTTTGGTTAAAGCAATTGAGAATGAATGACCAAAATGCTACAGTGAAATTTTATTTTCTGACAGAAGATTCAGATCCTTTAATTAATTTGACACCATTATGGACAATCTTTTAACTTCCTTTTGTTGTTCTACAGAAGATTGTCATTTTCAAAGTGACTGATTAACTTTAGGTGTAAATTTTCCTTTCAGTTACTTCCTAAACTTGACTCAGAACAGTCACAGTGTCTTGAGATTGCTCTTTTAGGCAGAAACACTGAAGTTTTAAGGTCTTCCACTCATTGGCATATATTTTACACTTATATTTAAAACAAGTGTTTAGTTGAACTAGGAATGTTTTGTTCATACTTTAAGAGTTTTACAGTTACCAGGTATTTCATCAGATATTATTATCCATCACTGTTATTCTAAATATTGTTAATAGTTTGTATGTGGCTATTTTAAAATCAGCTGAATTGTGGTTTCATACATATTATGTCTCAGTCATGCATGAGTGAAGCATAAATCAGTATGGAAATGTATGCTCACACCTCTGTGTGTTCTGCAGATATTTTAATACATTTCCAAGGGTGGGACTTGTTTTATAAACACAGCTTTCTACTTAACTAGTTGCATTATGAATACAGATTTTGAAAAGCTCAATGCAATCACCTGTGTATTTGCAATCTATGCTATTTTTCTCATGTTTAATTTTGCAGGCCCTCCTGGCACAGTTAGTAGTGTTCAGGGAATTCTAAAAAATATGAAAATAGTTCATCAAGTAAGGAATAAGAGTAATTAGTTTTTACAGTAATTATTTTATTAGCTATTAGAGCAGGAGAGTATTTTGTGTTCAGTTCAGTTCAGTCGCTCAGTCGTGTCCGACTCTTTGCGACCCCATTACACTAATACATTATGTCAGCTTATGTGTTAAGCCCGGGCTTCCCAGGTAGCTCAGAAGGTATCTGGTCTTCTGCCTGCAATGCAGGAGACCAGTGTTAAACCCCTGGATCAGGAAGATCCCCTGGAGAAGGAAACAGCAACCCACTCCAGTATTCTTGCCTGGAAAGATCCTGTGGATGGAAGAGACTGGCAGGCTACTGTCTATCGGATCACAAAGAGTGGGAGACAACTTAGTGACTAACACTTTCATTGTTTAAGTCTAATTCTAAGAATTGAGTAACTATTGATTAGGCTGTCTCATCCGACTGTTAATAAAGTGTAGTTTCTTAAATCTGTTTTAGACCCATCCGTTGCTATCATCTTCCTTAGATTCAATACTTATGATCATGCCTTAATGTGATCTAGTATTTAATAAAGGAGTGCCTTCCCCCAATGTGCTTCATTCTTTAATATTTACTTAGCTCAGGTATTTATGTTGATTTTTAGAAACTAAAAAAAAAAAAAAATCAGGTTTAAAGCTGAATGATATATTCTAGGTTTTCAGTTTTTTTTTAAGGTTTTTAAAATAGCATTTAATACTTAAAAGT